TTCCATGATAGAGCTGTAAGAGGCTTGCAATGTTTCATTTGTGGGGAAAAGGGTTGTAGGGTGGAAAATAATTCATCACCCACAAGGATGTGGAGAAACTTTTAGATTCAATAAAGACTGGACAGTGAAAACTGCTCATGTATTTTGGCCCTGATCTGGCTCTTGTAAAAGTAGAGATTAAGCAGGAGGAGTCAGGAACTTACTGGAATGGTAAAGGAAACTAAGCATTTTTCCAGCATCTTTAGTGATGGATCATATATACAAGTTCCACTTCAGGTTTGAGTTGAGCTTACATTCTAACAGGCACTCAAGGGATGTGGCCGCCTGAGAGATGGAAAGAGAAAGAGTGGAAAGAGGAGAGACAAGGAAAATAGGGTGAAAAGAAGGAAGGAGGGAAAGAAGGAGATATATCTGGTGGGAAGAGGAAGTCAAAGAGATGAACGATGAAAAGAGAATAAAAGGTAGATGGAAAGAGAAGGTTAGAATGAGGAGAGGTAAGAAAAATAAGGTGAAAAGAAGGAAGGAACAAGGTACATCTGATGGGAAGAGGAAGACAAGAGATGAACGCTGACAAGAGAATAAAAGGTAGATGGAAAGAAAAGGTTAGAATGAGGAAAGGCAAGAAAAATAAAGTGAAAAGAAGGAAGGAACAAGGTACATCTGATGGGAAGAGTAAGACAAAGAGATGAACGATGACAAGAGAATAAAAGGTAGATGGAAAGAGAAGGTTAGAATGAGGAGAGGGAAGAAAAATAAGGTGAAAAAAGGAAGGAACAAGGTACATCTGATGGGAAGAGGAAGACAAAGAGAAGAACGATGACTAGAGAATAAAAGGTAGATGGAAAGAGAAGGTTAGAATGAGGAGAGGCAAGAAAAATAAGGTGAAAAGAAGGAAAGAACAAGGTACATCTGATGGGAAGAGGAAGTCAAAGAGATGAACGATGAAAAGAGAATAAAAGGTAGAAGGAAAGAGAAGGTTAGAATGAGGAAAGGCAAGAAAAATAAAGTGAAAAGAAGGAAGGAACAAGGTACATCTGATGGGAAGAGGAAGTCAAAGAGATGAACGATGACAAGAGAATAAAAGGTAGATGGAAAGAGAAGGTTAGAATGAGGAGAGGCAAGAAAAATAAGATGAAAAGAAGGAAAGAACAAGGTACATCTGATGGGAAGAGGAAGTCAAAGAGATGAACGATGACAAGAGTATAAAAGGTAGATGGAAAGAGAAGGTTAGAATGAGGAGAGGCAAGAAAAATAAGGTGAAAAGAAGGAAAGAACAAGGTACATCTGATGGGAAGAGGAAGACAAAGAGATGAACGATGAAAAAAGATTAAAAGGTAGATGGAAAGAGAAGGTTAGAATGAGGAAAGGCAAGAAAAATAAAGTGAAAAGAAGGAAGGAACAAGGTACATCTGATGGGAAGAGGAAGACAAAGAGATGAACGATGACAAGAGAATAAAAGGTACATGGAAAGAGAAGGTTAGAATGAGGAGAGGCAAGAAAAATAAGGTGAAAAGAAGGAAGGAACAAGGTATATCTGATGGGAAGAGGAAGTCAAAGAGATGAAAGATGACAAAAGAATAAAAGGTAGATGGAAAGAGAAGGTTAGAATGAGGAGAGGCAAGAAAAATAAGGTGAAAAGAAGAAAAGAACAAAGTACATCTGATGGAAAGAGGAAGTCAAAGAGATGAACGATGACAAGTGAATAAAAGGTAGATGGAAAGAGAAGGTTAGAATGAGGAAAGGCAAGAAAAAATTAAGTGAAAAGAAGGAAGGAACAAGGTACATCTGATGGGAAGAGGAAGTCAAATAGATGAACGATGACAAGAGAATAAAAGGTGGATGGAAAGAGAAGGTTAGAATGAGGAGAGGCAAGAAAAATAAAGTGAAAAGAAGGATGGAACAAGGTACATCTGATGGGAAGAGGAAGTCAAAGAGATGAACGATGACAAGAGAATAAAAGGTAGATGGAAAGAGAAGGTTAGAATGAGGAAAGGCAAGAAAAATAAGGTGAAAAGAAGAAAGGAACAAGGTACATCTGATGGGAAGAGGAAGACAAAGAGATGAACGATGACAAGAGAATAAAAGGCAGATGGAAAGAGAAGGTTAGAATGAGGAAAGGCAAGAAAAATAAAGTGAAAAGAAGGAAGGAACAAGGTACATCTGATGGGAAGAGGAAGACAAAGAGATGAACGATGACAAGAGAATAAAAGGTAGGTGGAAAGAGAAGGTTAGAATGAGGAAAGGCAAGAAAAATAAAGTGAAAAGAAGGAAGGAACAAGGTACATCTGATGGGAAGCGGAAGACAAAGTGATGAACGATGACAAGAGAATAAAAGCTAGATGGAAAGAGAAGGTTAGATTGAGGAAAGGCAAGAAAAATAAGGTGAAAAGAAGGAAGTAACAAGGTACATCTGATGGGAAGAGGAAGACAAAGAGATGAATGATGACAAGAGAATAAAAGGTAGATGGAAAGAGAAGGTTAAAATGAGGAGAGGCAAGAAAAATAAGGTGAAAAGAAGGAAAGAACAAGGTACATCTGATGGGAAGAGGAAGTCAAAGAGATGAACGATGACAAGAGAATAAAAGGTAGATGGAAGAGAAGGTTAGAATGAGGAAAGGCAAGAAAAATAAAGTGAAAAGAAGGAAGGAACAAGGTACATCTGATGGGAAGAGGAAGACAAAGTGATGAACGATGACAAGAGAATAAAAGGTAGATGGAAAGAGAAGGTTAGAATGAGGAAAGGCAAGAAAAATAAGGTGAAAATAAGGAAGGAACAAGGTACATCTGATGGGAAGAGGAAGACAAAGAGATGAACGATGACTAGAGAATAAAAGGTAGATGGAAAGAGATGGTTAGAATGAGGAAAGGCAAGAAAAAATAAAGTGAAAAGAAGGAAGGAACAAATTACATCATCTGATGGGAAGACAAGGAAGACAAAAAGAGATGGAACGATTAGAAGAGAAGCAAGAAAAAAAAGGAAAAGATGGAAGAAAAGGTTAGAATGAGGAAAAGGCAAGAAAAATGAAAAAGGTAGATGGAAAAAGAAGGAAGGAAACAAGGAAAAATCTGATGAAAGAAGGAAGACAAAAAGAGATGAACGATGACAAAAAGATGAAATAAAAGGTAATGGAAAGAGAAGGTTAGAATGAGGAAAGGCAAGAAAAATGAAGTGAAAAGAAGGAAGGAACAAGGTACATCTGATGGGAAGAGGAAGACAAAGAGATGAACGATGAGAAGAGAATAAAAGGTAGATGGAAAGAGAAGGTTAGAATGAGGAAAGGCAAGAAAAATAAAGTGAAAAGAAGGAAGGAACAAGGTACATCTGATGGGAAGAGGAAGACAAAGAGATGAACGATGAGAAAAAGAATAAAAGGAAGATGGAAAGAGAAGGTTAGAATGAGGAAAGGCAAAAAAAATGAGGAAAAAGAAAGAATGGGGAGGAACAAAAGAGACATCTGATGGGAAGAGGAATGGAAAAGAGATGAACGATGAAAGAAGAAAAATGAAAAAAAGAAGGATGGAAAAGGTACATCTGATGGGAAGAGGAAGACAATGTGGAGAGGAATAAAAGAAAAAGAGGTTAGAAGGTGAAAAATAAGAAAGGAACAAGGTACATCTGATGGGAAGAGGAAGACAAAGATATGAACGATGACAAGAGAATAAAAGGTCGATGGAAATAGAAGGTTAGAATGAGGAAAGGCAAGAAAATAAAAGTGAAAAGAAGGAAGGAACAAAGGTACATCTGATGGGAAGACAAAAGGATGAACGGACAAAGACAAAGAGATGAACGATGAGAGCCAAGAATAAAAGGAATAGATGGAAAGAGAAGGTTAGATGGGAAGAGGAGAGGCAAATAAAAATAGAAAGGTGAAAGAGAAAAATAAAAGGAAAGAACAAGGTACATCTGATGGGAAGAGGAAGTCAAAGAGATGAACGATGACAAGATAATAAAAGGTAGATGGAAAGAGAAGGTTAGAATGAGGAAAGGCAAGAAAAAATAAAAGTGAAAAAGAAGGAAGGAACAAGGTACATCTGATGGGAAAGGAAGAAATGAACAAAGAGAAGATGAAAGAAGGTTGGCAAGAAAAATGACGATGACAAGAAGAATAAAACAAAGAGATGAAAGAGAATAAAAGGTAGATGGAATGAGAAGGTTAGAATGAGGAGAGGCAAGAAAAATAAAGTGCAAAGAAGGAAGGAACAAGGTACATCTGATGGGAAGGAAGACAAAAGAAATGAATGATGAGAAGAGAATAAAAGGTAAATGGAAAGAGAAAAAGGTTAGAAAAATGAGGAAAGGCAAGAAAAAATGAGATGAAAAGAAGGAATAAAAAGGAACAAGTAGAATCTGATGGGGCAAGGAAGACAAAGAGATGAACGATGGAAGAAGAGAATAAAAAGATGAACGATGGAAAGAGAATAAAAGGTTAGAATGAGGAGAGCAAAAGAAAAAAAAAGGTGAATAGAAGGAAAAGAACAAAGGTACATCTGATGGGAAGAGGAAGTCAAAAGAGATGAACGATGACAAGATAATAAAAAGGTAGATGGAAAGAGAAGGTTAGAATGAGGAAAGGCAAGAAAAATAAAAGTGAAAAGAAGGAAGGAACAAAGGTACATCTGATGGGAAGAGGAAGACAAAGAGATGAACGATGAGAAGAGAAAAAAAAGGTAGATGGAAAGAGAAGGTTAGAATGAAGGAAAAAAGGCAAGAAAAAATGAAGTGAAAAGAAGGAAGGAATAAAAGGTACATCTGATGGGAAGAGGAAGAGAAAAAGAGATGAACGATGACAAGAGAACAAAAAAGGTAGATGGAAAGAAGAAGAAGGTTAGAATGAGAAAAGGCAAGAAAGGCAAAAAAAAATGACAAAGATGGAAAAGAAGACAAAGGATAAACGATGAGAAGAGAATAAAAAGGTAGATACATCTGAATGGGAAGAGGAAGACAAAAAAGATGAACGATGAGAAGAGAATAAAAGATATGAAGATGGAAAGAGAGAAGGTTAGAATGAGGAAAGGCAAGAAAAATAAAGTGAAAAGAAGGAAGGAACAAGGTACATCTGATGGGAAGAGGAAGACAAAGAGATGAACGATGAGAAGAGAATAAAAGGTAGATGGAAAGAGAAGGTTAGAATGAGGAAAGGCAAGAAAAATGAAGTGAAAAGAAGGAAGGAACAAGGTACATCTGATGGGAAGAGGAAGACAAAGAGATGAACGATGAGAAGAGAATAAAAGGTAGATGGAAAGAGAAGGTTAGAATGAGGAGAGGCAAGAAAAATAAAGTGAAAAGAAGGAAGGAACAAGGTACATCTGATAAAAATTAAAAGAAGGAAGAACAAAAAAGAGATGAGGACGATGAGAAGAGAAGAGAAAAAGGTAGATGGAAAGAGAAGGTTAGAATGAGGAAAGGCAAGAAAAAATGAAGTGAAAAAAGGAAGGAACAAAAAGGTACATCTGATGGGAAGATGAAGGAAGACAAAAGAGATAAACGATGAGAAGAGAATAAAAGGTAGATGGAAAAGAAGGTTAGAATGTGGAGAGGCAAGAAAAAATAAGGCAAGAAAAAAAAAGAAAAAAAGGGAAGGAACAAGGTACATCTGATGGGAAGAGGAAGACAAAGATATGAACGATGACAAGAGAATAAAAGGTCGATGGAAATAGAAGGTTAGAATGAGGAAAGGCAAGAAAAATAAAGTGAAAAGAAGGAAGGAACAAGGTACATCTGATGGGAAGAGGAAGACAAAGAGATGAACGATGACAAGAGAATAAAAGGTAGATGGAAAGAGAAGGTTAGAATGAGGAGAGGCAAGAAAATAAGGAAAAATAAAAGGTGAATAGAAGGAAAGAACAAGGTACATCTGATGGGAACAAAGGAATCTGTCAAAGAGATGAACGATGACAAGATAATATAAGGTAGATGGAAAAGAAAGGTTAGAATGAGGAAAGGCAAAGAAAAAAAAAAAGTGAAAAGAAGGAAGGAACAAGGTACATCTGAATAAAAAGAGGAAGACAAAGAAATGAACGATGACAAGAGAAAAAAAATGTAAATGGAAAGAGAAGGTTAGAATGAGGAACTTTGAAAAAAAAAAAAAAGCAAAAAAGAAGGAAGGAAACAAAAGGTACATCTGATGGGAAGAGGAAGACAAAAGAAATGAATGATGAGAAATAAATAAAGGTAAATGGAAGCGAAAAGGTAAATGGAATGGGAAAGGAAGAAAAAAATGAGACAAGAAAATAAAGGGATGGAAGGAAGGTTAGAAAGGAAAACAAAATCTGATGGGAAGAAAGGAAGACAAAGATGGAAGATGACAAACGATGAGAAGAGAATAAAAGGTAGATGGAAAAGAAGGTTAGAATGAGGTTCCAAAAAAAGAATCTTGAATAGAAAAGAAAAATAAGGTGAGAAGGAAAGAAACAAGATGAACATCTGATGGGAAAAGGAAGAAAAAGTTAGAATGAGGATGACAAGAAAATATAAAAAAAAGATGGAAAAGAGAATGGTTAGAATGAGGAAAGGCAAAGAAAAATAAAAAAGTGAAAGTTAGAAAAAGAAGGAAGGAAAAAAACATCTGATGGGAAGAGGAAGAAAAAGATGAACGATGAGAAGAGAATAAAAGGTAGATGGAAAAAGAAAGGTTAGAATGAGGAAAGGCAAGAAAAATGAAGTGAAAAGAAGGAAGGAACAAGGTACATCTGATGGGAAGAGGAAGACAAAGAGATGAACGATGACAAGAGAATAAAAGGTAGATGGAAAGAGAAGGTTAGAATGAGGAGAGGCAAGAAAAATAAGGTGAATAGAAGGAAAGAACAAGGTACATCTGATGGGAAGAGGAAGTCAAAGAGATGAACGATGACAAGATAATATAAGGTAGATGGAAAGAGAAGGTTAGAATGAGGAATCTCAAAAAGAAAAATAAAGAATAAAAAGAAGGAAGGAACAAGGTACATCTGATGGGAAGAGGAAGACAAAGAGATGAACGATGAGAGGAGAATAAAAGGTAGATGGAAAGAGATGGTTAGAATGAGAAAAGGCAAAAAAAAAATGAAAGTGAAAAGAAGGAAGGAACTAAGGTACATCTGATGGGAAGAGGAAGACAAAGAGATGAACGATGAGAAGAGAATAAAAGGTAGATGGAAAGAGAAGGTTAGAATGAGGAAAGGCAAGAAAAATAAGGTGAAAAGAAGGAAGGAACAAGGTACATCTGATGGGAAGAGGAAGACAAAGAGATGAACGATGAGAAGAGAATAAAAGGTAGATGGTAAGAGAAAGATCAAAAAGAAGAGAGGCAAGGAAAATATGGGTGACAAAAAGAGATGAACGATGAAGAAGGAAGAAAGAAGTACATTTGGTGGGAAGAGGAAGACAAAGAGATGAAAGATCACAAGAGAAATAAAGGTAGATGGAAATAGAAAGAAGAAAAAGAAGAGTAGCAAAGTAAATAGGGTGAAAAGATAGAAGAAAATATATGAAATACAAGAGAAATATATTATGGGCAAAGTAAATAGGGTTTAAAAAACGATAATTCGATAAAAAGATGACAAGTGAATAAAAGGTAGATAGAAAACAAAGAGCAAAAAGAGGGGAGGCAAGGAAAATCGGGTGGAAAGAAAGAAGGAAGAAGATATATGTGGTGGGAAGAGGAAGAGAAAGAGATGAAAGGTGATAAGTGAATAAAAGGTAGATGGAAAGAGAAACATCAAAAAGAGGAGAGACAAGGAAAGTAGGATGAAAAGAAAGAAGGAAGGAGATACATCTGGTGGGAAGTGGAAGAGAAAGAGATCAAAGATGACAGAAAATGTAAAAGTAAAGATGGAAGAAAGTAGATATATCTGGTGGGAAGAGGAAGAGAAAGAGATGAAAGATGATAGAAAATCTAAAAGTAAAGATGGAAGGAAGAAGATACATCTGGTGGGAAGAGGAAGAGAAAGAGATGAAATATGATAGAAAATCTAAAATAAAGACGGAAGGGAGGAGATATATCTGGTGGTAAGTGTAATGTAAAAGAAATGCAAGATGACGAGTATAAAAGGTAGACATAAGGAGAAAGGTCTAAAAGAGTAAAGCAAAATAAGGAAAAAAGGAAGGAAGGAAAGAATGGATAAGATGAAGAGAAAAGAATGATAGACAGAAAAAGAAAGGTCTAAAGAGTCAAAGAAAGAAAATTATCTCATCAGGCCAAGAGTAGAATAATAGTTACAGACATAAACAAAGAGATGTAAGTGAAGAAAAGAAAGAAAATAAAATGCAATACGTGAGAGGGATGATAAAGAAATGTTGGATGATGATAGAAAAGAAAGAGAAAGAGTAACAGGGGTTAGTGGATTAAATCAGACTCACGCTTTGCTTCCCAGAGACAACATTTTTTCATGGCTGATTGCTGAACTCACCAGGAAGCTAACCAAGCATGTGGAGGCTTGCAAATGCCTTCTTACTGAGACCAGGGAAAAAATTTGACTACAAAAGAGATATTCAGATCATTGCAATGTTCTATGTTTGACTGGCAGTGCCATGTGCTGGCTCTCATAAACACCAAATAATTTTGAAGGATTTTCATATTGTATTTTAAAATTTTTTTTTGATAACAAATTAAAAATGGTGCCAGTTTTTAAAAAAATGCTTATTTTTTTTTTCTGAAAAATTTATCATTTGAAAAATTTTTCAGTAAGATGCTTGAAGCAATGATACATAGGTATCAATGTTTACATTTTGATTAGGAAAATTAAACTATTGTAGCCAATTTACCAGGTGAAACCAGGTTGCTTAAAGCAATATAAAGTCATATTTTATATATGTATCTTTGATCAATATTTCTTTCATCTTATTTCTTTTGCCATTTTATCATGTATATCTTTCAATGTCATAAAATGATGATATACAAGTTGCATTACAAAATGACTATCAAAATACATTGGAAATGATTTTTAGTACATGAATGCATTGGAAATGATTATAACTGCTGGAATGCATTACCCATGATTTTTACTATAGGAAAGCATTGCCATTGAATTTTATTATAGGAATGCATTGCAAATTACTTTTACTATAGAAATGCATAGGAAATGATTTTTTACTACAGGAATGCACTGCCAATGATTTTTACTATAGGAATGCATTGGCAATGATTTTTATTATAGGAATGCATTGCAAATTATATTTCACTATAGAATTGCATAGGAAATGATTTTTACTATAGGAATGCATTAACAATGATTTTTACTATAGGCATGCAATGCCAATGATTTTTAATATAGGAATGCATTGCCAATGATGTTTACTATAAGAGTGCATTGCCAATGATTTTTACTATAGGAATTTATTGGAAATGATTTTTACTATAAGAATGCATTGGAAATGATTTTTATTATAGGAATGTTGTGAAAGGATTTTACTATAAGAAATGCATTGAAATGATTTTTACTATAAGAATGCATTAGAAATGATTTTTACTATAAGAATGCATTAAAATGATTTTTTATATGAATGCATTGGAAATGATTTTACTATAGGAAATGCATTGGAAATGATTTTACTATAAGAATGCATTGGAAATGATTTTTTATAGGAATGCATTGGAAATGATTTTTATTATAAGAATGCATTGCAAATGATATTTACTATAAAATGCATTGGAAATGATTTTTACTATAGGAATGCATTAAAAAATTTTTACTATAGGAATGCATTGGAAATGATTTTTAATATAAGAATGCAATTGAAATGATTTTTACTATAAAAAATGCATTGAAAATGATTTTTACTATAAGAATGCATTGGAAATGATTTTTACTATAAGAATGCATTGGAAATGATTTTACTACAAGGAATGCATTGAAAATGATTTTACTATAGAAATGCATTAAAATGATTTTACTATAAGAATGCATTGAAAATGATTTTTACTATAGGAATGCATTGAAATGATTTTTACTATAAGAATGCATTTAAAATGATTTTACTATAGGAATGAACATTGAAATGATTTTACTATAGGAATGCATTGGAAATGATTTTACTATAAGGAATGCATTGGAAATGTTTTTTACTATAAGAATGCATTGGAAATGGTTTTTTACTATAAGAATGCATTGGAAATGATTTTACTTTTATAAGAATGCATTGAGAATGATTTTACTATAAGAATGCAATAAAGTTTTTTAATAAAAAAAATGATTGGAAATGATTTTACTATAAGAATGCATTGAAAAAAAATGATTTTACTAAAAAATCCATTGCAATATATTTTTCATTTATAAAAATGCGACTATACAGGTGATTTTATTTTAGGAATGCATTGGAAATGATTTCAGATGAAGAATGCATTGGTGAAAATGATTTTACTATAAGAAAACATTGAAAATGATTTTAGTTAAGAATGCACCCTAAATGATTTGAATATAAAATTTATCCTAAATTTTTACTATAAGAATGCAAAAAAAATTTTATATATTTTCTATAATTTGATTTTAAAATGGATTTTGATGTATAAAATTGCATGTAAATTATTTTAAAACCATTTTCCATAAATAAAATGATTTTAATATAAGAATGAATCCAAAATGAAAATAAACAATAAAATGCATTGAAAATTTTTTTCTATAAGAATGCATATAAATGATTTTTATAAAAAGAATTTGCTTTAAATTTTTTCATATAAAATGCATTAATGAAGAAAGATTTTACAATAAGAACTAAATGGTGTAAATATCAAAAAGATGTTTAATCAAAGAAAAAATCCATATGTAAGAATAGCATCAACTTGTTTATTTTGAATTTGGGAATCATTGAAAAATGATTTTCAAATGAGCTGTAAAGATTTTTTATTATAGAATTCTAGAAAAGCCAGAATTCTGATTACATTGGAATGAAAAAAAAGAAAAAGATTGTTTGTCTGCATTCATGGATTTCTTTGAAATCATCATGCCTTTTATATGACAGAATGCATGCCTGATTTTAATTGAAATAAATTTTTAAAATTTTACCTTTCATGCATTCAAATGAAATTTTAATATGAAAGAAATTTATTGAGAAAAACTCTCAAGTAATTAGTTTTTGTTTGTTTGTTTTGTTTTGTTTTGTTTTATGGGAATATAAATGAAAAGGATTAAAATAAAAAAGAAAATGATT